TGTGTGTGTCTGTGGGAGAGTGTGAAAAAAACCCACCGAACTGACATTTAAACGTGAAATTCTTGGTGTTAAAATAAAAAGAATAATAATAATAATTAGAAGATTAGAAGAAGAGACATATTTTAATTAGGTTTGTATTAAAGACAGTGAAGGGAAACAAAACGCGGGTGATTTAGTTGCGGTTTTTGAGCTGAGGGATAAAAACTCCGTTGATGTTCCCTGTGGATCAGCGACCCCTGAAGAGTGGCTTTATTTATGTCAGAAAGATCATTGTTTAATGAGAAAACGTCAAATAGAAAACAAACTAGAACAGACGACAAATATCGTTTGTTACCAGTTTGTCTGAATCGGACAATTGATCTGATGGACGAAGAATAAAGAAACGTTTGGGGGTTTTTTTGGGTTTTTTTTTTTTTTTTTTTTTTTTTTTTTTTTGTATTTTTTTGTTGGTCTAATGAGGAGGCCGAAAAATGTTTATTGTGTAAAATACAAATGAGAGATTTGATCTCAACGTGTATTGAAGGTGAATATTTGGTTATTAATTTAGACGATTTCAAAATAAATGATTCTATCAGACGGAAATAGATTTCCGCTTTTATGAGAAAAAGTAAATAAACTGTTTTTAGGGGATAAAATGTGTCAAACACTTGAACGCGCAGAGAGAGCGAGTGTCAGAATGAGCTGCTACAAGAAACAGACGAACACGTCATCATCATCAACAACAACAACAACAAATAACAACAATGAGAAACACGATGATGGATGAAAAATAATCAAATCTGTAAACGGAGCGAGTTTACCAGAAACATGAACAAACACCGGAAGTGTCAGTGTCCAGACAGAGAGAAAAGTCTCTTCAAATATCAACCTCACCACAAACACACGGGCCGCTGTGTGTGTGTTAACTAACAACCTGAACACACACACACAAAAATGTAGTAGCATTTTTGCAGCCAACCAACCAAATAATTCAAACACCATTTAACCAACTAGATCAATACAAACCACCTGATAAATTAATAAAAAAGAAATAAAAATTCCATAATAACTGACCAATTAGATAACAGACTGGCCAATTGACTAAACATGATTAAACCTCTAAGTACATACATGGAAAGACAAAATCAAAACACGAATAAATCAGCTACAAAAACCATTAACCAACCAAATATGTTAATATTGGTCATGAACAAACAGACAACAACACAGCATGACGAAGTAAGAAGCTAAGCTAACACTGGCTAAAGACAACACAGACATGACTAACCGATAACCGCACTCCAAGAAGGATTGGGTCACGAGACAACAAATTAACCAGAGAAGAGAAACAATTAGTCAACAGAACTACTAACTGAACAATCTGTTGTTGGAGCGACTGACAAATGACTAAAGCAAGCGCCACGTCTAACCAAGCAGTTAACCAACCCAAAAACTTGCCAAACAGCCAAACAACTCAACAACTAACCAACTAGCCAGTCAGTTATCCTAACAACTAACCAGTCAAAAACACAAATGACTTACCAACCAGTCAACCAACCCAAACAACTAACCAACGTGTCAGTCAACTCAACAACTAGCCGACCAGTCAACCCATTAAATATCACGTCAACAAACAAAATGACAAAACAGTCAACAAACCAAACAACTTAAACCACCTTACTAATCAGTGGACACCACAGACGATAAAACAGTCAGTAACGCGCCTGAACAAATAAACTAACAGACACGTCAACAGTTTGAATTTTGAAACTACAACTCAAACAGCCCAACAACTCGGTCTCATGTCAACCAACATACTAACCAACCGACCTAACTAACTAACAACTAACTATATAACGAACAAACCAAGCAGAAGACAAAAGTGAAACAGTAAAGAAAAGAAAAGAAAAACTTACATCGAAACAAACCAGACAGACGATGACGCCATAAAATATGCAAAAAATAAATAACATTTTTCTCCACGTAAAAGCAGCAAAACATCAACTGTCAAAATATTTTTAATATATAGATGTTTGTTTTCGCGCTGGTCAGGGGGCGTGGTCATGGGGTTACGTCATAACAACGGCGTCTGACTGAGACTTCAGTTATGAGTCAGGAACAGTTTTTACTACAAACACCCGCGCTTTACGACAACAACAACAAACACAGTCACAACAAATAATGGAACATATTAATTATTAATATTACACTGTTTTGGAACGTTTTGTTTCAATTAATAATATTTGTTGTATTACAAGGTGTCATTTTATGTTTTCAGGCTGGTCATTCCTGGTTTCCGTTGTCTTTTGTGTTTCTCCTGTAAATCGTTACGTTTAAATATGTAGATATTTACATTTTAGACCCACATGAACCGAACTGAAATATTCATTTTCAATAACAATTCCAAAACATACTTCAGCAAATCATTTTCTTGAGTTTTAAACTTTCAACAAACCACAGTGACGCCGGGAGTAAAGAAGACAGACGTGTGTTATGAATGTAACCTATTCTTTTATTTTTTTATCATTAAAACATTTTTTTCCTTATTTGAAACGTTTATAAGCGACAAACACGTGAATAAGAATCAGAGCACAACATTATCACAACCATGAAAAACTGCTTCAGAGACGACAATTAAAGGACAATCATTTAAAGGAAAGATAAAGAAAAATAAATGTTAGTGAGGATTTCCTGTTTTGTTTTTTGGGGTTTTCAATATTAAATAGCTTACATTTAATCACATCTGCTGCTGCTAAAAAAAAATAATAAAGTCCGGGTTCCAATTTCAGATACGATTTCTTTTTCGAATTATAAAAAACGCAAAAAAAAGAAGACGTGAATATGAATGCGTTAACATGTAGTTTTGATTTTCTTTTTCAATTACCTACGAATAACTTGTGATTTATTTTCTTCTCGTTTTGCTACAAAAGAAGAGGTGGATTGGAGATACAACTGACACAACAGTGCCACCAAACCTCATCCACTTTTTCACTATTTAAAAAAAAGAAGGCAAAAAAAATTGAGAGAAACTGTAAAAAATAAAATAAAATAAAAAATAAATCAATGGTGGACTTCATTTCGGCATGATGGAAGAGGCCTCATTCATTTATTCATTAATTACCCATTCATTCAGCAGTCCGGTCATGACAAATAAAATGAACAATAAATGTACATTTAAAGGGCTTTAATATAATAAGTCACGTTACTGAACCGCATCGACGTTCGCGCTAATTTGTAAAGAAAATGCAACAAAAAATAAATAAATTAGAGGGGGAAAAAACTCCTTCAGTATTAATTAAGATTTGAGCTGTAATTAAGGTCATAAAGGATTATCAGGATTATTAACAGCTTTTTAATCGACGCGACACCAAACTGTGTTTGTTCTTTATACTAATTTTAGGGAAATGTCCAGATATGTTAACAAATGGAGGCAATATTTAAATAAAACTGAGGAGTTGTTTATTATTAGTACAGCTAATAATTTCGGCTGTGACGGTGACATCATCAACATTCACCTCCTCGTTCATTCGACACGGCAGCAACGCGGCCTTAAAGTCAATTAAATTTTTTATAAATTTAAAGACATCAGCTGTGATTAAAAAAATAAATAAAAGTGAGAAACATTAGAATAAAGGTTGAAAAATGAAGTCGACAACGCAGTTGATCTGTCGGCTTTTTTTCACCGTCTCATATTTGTATTAATTTATAAAATTCCGTCCAAATTCAAAAACCTTTTTGCAAATTTAAAAGATTAGAAAAAACAACGAGCGAATGAAAATTACTGTTGAAAACTAAAAAAGAAAATGTATCGTGACTAATGTACTGATGAAAATGGAAACACGCTAAAAAAAACTCGTTAAATTTTTTGATAATTTACGATGAAAGCAGTGAAATGTTAACTATGTCTGTTTAAAGTTAAATCAAATATTTTCCAATATTATATGTTATGAACTGATATTTTCGAGTGAAGCCCTCGACATCCTGTGGTTCATCCATTTATCCCATTCACACCAGGCCTCTGCTCTGGACCAAATCTTCAACATCATTTGGATCAAATTTATAAAAATGTAAAAACAGAAAATCAAAAAGCGACTCTTTGGTCCTAAAACACCAGCAGCAGATGTGACATTTGGGAAAAAGCAGCCTCGCGATGTTATAAAATACAAGTCAAATTCACTGGGGGGAATTAATTAAATTTAAATAAAATAAGGTAAATAATCTTTTAGTCAAAATAATAAACAATTTCTGCTGTTTTGTCTGACCCGCATTAGACCTGATAATACTGCAAAGCATGCGGGTAAACGTTGGAATTAATATTAATTATCATTCGTTTTACACTAAATAATATTATTATTGTAATAATAATAATATTTTGGACGACAAATTAGGCAAAGCTATTTATACACATTCTATTTTTTTTTTAAGAAACAAAAAAGTATCCTTCTTCAAAAAAGGAGGTTTCAGTTTCCAAGGTCCTCTCTGTTTTAAACACGAAGAAGAAACGCGCAGACACCGGAAATAACAGACTAATTTATGTACAAAAACACACACGTAGAAAAAAAGAAGAAGAAAAAGAAAAGGGGGGAAATGAAGGGCAAGAAGAGGAGAAAGAGAAGAGGAGAAGAGGAGGAAAAAGATGTTGGAGGAGTTTAAAAAATGGGGAAAAAGAGAAGATACAGGAAAAAGGCAGAAGAATTAAGAGTGACGTGAGACGGATTAGAATCATTATAATAACATCAACAATAATAATAATAATAATAATAATAATAAATTTAAAAAATACCTGCAGACTTGTGAGCTGCTCGTGTTTCTCTGCAGTTTTTAAGTCTTTCCTCTTTTCTCTACAACAGTTTTAGTTGTTTGTTTATAATAATTTTGTCTTTTTTGTCAGTTTGTTTTTTACAAGATGAAGTGTAGTTTTAAATGTTCCACCGACTCTTCCAGTCACGTTTTAGGGGAGATTCTCTCTCCTTCCGGGCGGAATGGCGATAACGGAGGTGGCGGAGCAGGTGTCGGGGGTGTTAGTGTATGAGAGGGTTGGAGGTCGAGCCCTGATGCGGGTTCGGGTGCGTGAAATAGTCAGAGAGCCCCGACGACAGCCCGGTGGGGAATGCGGGCAGCGCTGCGGTGAGCGGCGGCCGCAGGGAGTCACAGGAGGAGCCGGAGGAGGAGGAGGAGGGTGCAGGAGCCTGTGGGGAGGCAGAGGCCGCGGCCCGCGTCAGGCCCTGCGGCTGCACCTGCGACAGAGAAGCGGCGCTCCCTACAACGCCTCCACCTCCGCCGCCGCTCTGCGCGCTCATGTGCGGGTGAGGAACGTGCGGGAAAAAATAGCTGGTCTGTCCCGCAGTCAGCAGGTTCACTGAGCACGGGTTCAGGGAGTAGGTGGCCGCCGAGCAGGGCACCGCGCCGAGGCCGCACGGCATGGCAGAGGCCGCCAGGGCTGCCGCCGTCAGGGGGTGCGGGGCGGGGGGGA